ACAGTCCAACATAAATTTAAAAATACATTTTGTTTTTACCCAAAATGCATTTTTGAAATTGGAAATACATTTTCTTGTTCCACTCAAGTACATTTTGTAATATATTTTGGCATTTGAAGGTTTAAACAAAATCTGTGCTTTGTACAACATAATTATTTAACATTCGAAATATATATTTCTCCAGGAAAAACAAACAGAACAGGGCCAGAGCAAGAGAGCAAGAGTTTGGCATAGTTACATAACAAGTTCTCCTTTCTATATCCCTCAATTCCTCTGCATCCTCGCCATGCTCCTAGATGCTCGGTTTTTAATTGTAATTAAAAGTCACAGCATAATAAACTAAGCAGAGGAGGCGATGATATATGTAGGTGCGAGAACACTGCTTGTGTATGAGGAAGCAGTCACCACTATCATTGCTACATCTGGGGATCAATGCAAATCAGGTCAGCATTTGTTTTTACAATAAATTCAGTGCCTAACCCCACACCATCACTCCTTAAACTGTTTTGTAATGTCTCCCGACACACAGACAGATCAATAGGTAGTGCCAAACCGTCTGAATAGATAGAGAGAGAGAGAGTGGGCGTCCTCCTCTAGGGAGAACTAGGTGCAGAGAGATAAAGCCGCGCATGCGCTCTGCAGATATTAGGTAACTGCGAGAAATTCCGCAGTACACCCCCCACCACACGCGCACACAGACTTCCCGCCAAAAAGGAGCTCAAGGAGATACAATAGAATGATAAACAGTGTCTGTGCTCTTATTTCTAAACATCCTTTTCAAATGATTCTCTCATTGACATAAGCTCACAGAATCAAACATACTGGACCTCAGAAATGAGCTTATGATGTGTATTTGATTGGTGGAGACACATGAAGTGCATCAGACCAATAATGCATTATTGCATAACATAATGGAGATTGTTACAAAAAAGATTTGTGCAGACCAGCAGGGATGGAAAAATTAAACACTCAAAAGGCACCAGCAGGAAATCCTGGAAAGCTGCATTTAGAAACATGTAGCATGGTGCAGTTACCTTAAGGAGGTTGTTCAAACTGATCCTTAAAATGTAGTCTTGTTGGTGTACACTAATGTATTTGATTTGTTGATTGAGTGATTTCATATAATATATAATACTGTTACTTTAAATGTATTATTAATATTAGACTATCTTTTACCAACAAGCCCCCAGTTTAGTCAATCATAGCTGTCCTTAAAGATGGATTGTTTAATAAAGTGTTCAGTATCTTCAATTGACACTTGCAGACACTCTCCCCGACCACAGAAAGCTTAAAGGGGTCTTGCTTATAAGATTCCCCAGCTGGTGACCACCGGAAGCGCATGTCCTTTTATAGAGAACACGAGAGTTCCCCAGTATTGTAGCGCTCGTCCACCTGCTTCATTGAAATGCAGAGCCACGCGAGCACTGCGACGCCCACGCGCCAAATCTGCCGGGAAGCGCCACAATCTCCATCATCTGCGGGGAAATTATGTCATAGCTATAACCTCCAATCATCCGAATATAGCATTTAAATAAAAATGGTAAACTAAGCAGATTCCTTGTTTGCGATATTTGAGCTTTGTCACTTAT